GGCGGGAGGAGGGCAGGGGGACGGCGGACGGACCTTGGGCGCTGCCACATGTGCTGGCCGGGGGTGGAGCCTTTCGGGTTAGGTTTTAAAGGCACTAGAATGTCGCCTCGATCGGAACAGTTCGAGGTGTTCTTGTGTTTCTGTGAAGGTGGTTCTTTATACATTCTTAAACGCCAGGAAATTTCCAGGTGGCTAAACAAAGTATAATCTACTGTCCATTTGTGTTTTTTAAGTACATTGTACTTTATTCTTAGGAGATCTGCCGTGCTATGCCCGCATCAGAAGTGAATTATAATTGAATGAAGCTTTATAGATTTGTATGTTCGCAGAGTCTTAATACTGCGCTCTTTCTCTTTTCCTCTCTTCTAGGTTTTTCATTTCTGCCATCCCCTCCCCTTCCCACCCCATCCATTAATATTATTCTTTTGAAGATTCTTCGTTGTCAAGCCGCCAAAGTGGAGAGTGCGATTGCAGAAGGGGGTGCTTCTCGTTTCAGGTATGTGTAGATTTATTTTGGCATCTCTTTGAGAAGTTGAATTACAAAACAATTCTGATTTGATGTGCTGTAATTTTAATAGTTCTTAAGTTTTAAATAGTCTTCTATTATTAAGTGAAAAATATTTGGCATTCCTTGCCCAAGTTCAGTGTTCATCTGTGATACAATTTTTAGAATACAAAGTGACTTTCATGTAAATGGGGAGGGGGTGAAGGGGAGGGCCAGGGACAGGGGGAAAAATGAGAACCAAGACCTGCCATGTAAAGTTACAAGATCCCAATGATGAATGTAACTGCACTGTATACCTAAAATGTACCAATAAACTCAGTGAGAGGGAAAAAAAGTATCTTTCATCCCTTTTATAAAGTGTAATAACTGGTACTATATAGTAAATTTTTTTTTCTTGCAAATAGTGCTTCTTCGGGCGGAGGAGGAAGTAGGGGTGCACCTCAGCACTATCCCAAGACTGCTGGCAACAGGTATGCTAAATAAACATGTAAAAACAATGGCTCTTATAAGTAGATCTAAGGTTTTCACATGTATAGCATAATAGTAAAGAGCAGAAGATACCAGGAATCTCAAATCTTGTTGGGGGCATTGGTTTCTGCTAAATAATTGTAAATACAGAATGTTACCTTTAGTTTGTTCCTTAGCTAGGTCATCTAATGTGAGTTGAGTCTCTCAAACAAATTTTTTCTGCTCACATTCTTGAGTTATTTTTATTTATGATAGTTCTGAAATCCATTATTGTCCTTTCTAATAGGTGTTAGTAAAGACGTGTAGAAGGTGGCCATAAGTCATTTTAGCGCTAGCACAACCTGGAAGTGTGTGCTAAAATGAATAGGCACTGCCCCACTCCCTCTAAAGCAGAAACTGAGAATGGGCCTGGAAATCTTAAGTCCTTTAAGTGATTTTTAGAAACCACTGATTTCCAATGTTGCCTTGTGGGGAAATCGAAAAAATCCTACATGTTTATTATATTTAGCAGAATTTCTGATCCATGTGATATCTGCTGTGTGACTTATTTTCATAAGTCTCTATTAATCTTTATTAATCAGCGAGTTCCTGGGGAAAACCCCAGGGCAAAACGCTCAGAAATGGATTCCTGCACGAAGCACTAGACGAGATGACAACTCCGCAGCAAACAACTCCGCAAATGAAAAAGAACGACATGATGCAATCTTCAGGAAAGTAAGAGGGTAAGCTTCAAGATCTGTTTTCATAAAATGAGGGAAGAGATGTGGATTGGCTTTGTGTGTGTGAGAGAGAGAGAGAAAGGGAGGGAGATGCTACTCACAAGGCAAGGTTCATGCCCAACAGTGGTTTTGGTTAAAAAAAGAAAATTAACCGCGCACCAGTTTTGGGGGACTGGGGTTTACAGTTAGTTCCTTATAGCTATTGGGTTTGCAGCTTGTTATTAACCCTTTTGTGCTGGCATTTCCATCTTGGTCTGTTGTGTAACTCAGTTAAGTAGACTATAATGATCACAGTTCATGATCCATCCCTGATAAATGAGGTCCTTGTGCTCTGGACTTAGAGAAAGGTTTCTTGTCAAACATCTGGGCACAACATCCCTTTGGTTATATAAGAACATGTCTTGGTATAAAAAGGAGCAAGTAGAAATGTGACATAATTTAAAGGGTGTTTTTTTACTTAAACAATTCTGTATTGGCTGATATTTCAAATGTCATTTCTTTCCCGCAGCATATTAAATAAGCTTACTCCTGAGAAGTTTGACAAGCTATGCCTTGAGCTCCTCAATGTGGGTGTAGAGTCTAAACTCATCCTTAAAGGGGTCATTCTGCTGGTAAGTTTTAAATGTTGGCTTACATTCAAAGGGGAAGGAAAATAAGCCTTAGGTGTTTTTCAGTTCTGAGATATGTGTTAGATAGATATATATTTCTCAATACTGATAATAATATAAGTAAAACCACTGACTTGTAATGGTACCAGATTTAAGAAGTGAGTTTTAGGCTGAGAAAGACAGATTCCACAAGTTTGAACCAAGCCTAGACTACATAGAGCTTGTCCTCAAGAAAAGTAAATTTTAGGGCCAGGGATAAAGCTCAACGACACAGTGCCTGCCTGGCAAGCACAAGGCCCTGAGTTAAATTCCTGGTACCTCAAAAAACAAGTCAAAGTAAATTTTAAGTCATTATACTACACATGGAGAGTTAAACGGAGTCTCTTGGCAGTTGGTTCGTTTACCTTTTGTGAAAGATGCTGTATTTTGGACTTGGAAGTGAATTATATATAAATTGAGATAATGATTATAGTACATTTTGGTTATGCAATACTGGGGCCAGAGCCTATGGCTTTCATACTTGCTAGGCATGCTCTAATATAGGCTACATGATCAGTCCCCCAGGGTCTGTATAGTATATCTGTCTGAGATATTTTCTAGGAATGCCTATATAAAAACCAATATGGCTCGATTTTTTGGTCCACTGTAAGAGCTTACATTTAAGTTCTTGTATGTTTCCAGGCTATCTGCTGAACAGTTAAATCTGTTTTTGTCTAATTTAATTTACATGGGAAACCTTATAAGAAATATATTCTCATACCTTGGTTGTGAATTACATAGAGAAGGAATTTGTCATGAAATCTAATCTTATGACCATGTGCTTCCACCTTAGCACACCTGTAGCCCAGCTGCTTAGACTCAAAATTTAAAAAATTTTTAAAGAGCTTTGTGGTAAAGTGTTAACAAGTGCAAGGAAATAAATTCAATCCCCAGTCCACAAGAAAAGGTCCAGTCTAGGCTTTTAAAAATATTTTTTGTAGATTGTGGACAAAGCCCTAGAAGAGCCAAAGTATAGCTCACTGTATGCTCAGCTATGTCTGCGATTGGCAGAAGATGCACCAAACTTTGATGGCCCAGCAGCAGAGGGTCAACCAGGGCAGAAGCAAAGCACAGTAAGTGATAGCTTCTGTTGCTTATTTTAAAATTGGTTTGAAAGATTACATTAGTGAAACCTACAAGTAGTTTTTGTTTCCAAACAGACATTCAGACGCCTCCTAATTTCCAAATTACAAGATGAATTTGAAAACCGAACCAGAAATGTGGATGGTAAGAATTTTTGATACTAAGTAGTAGTGTGTATGAAAACCTGATTCCAAGTTTTGACTTTATTCTTCAATTTTTTTTCCCCTTTCAGTCTATGATAAACGTGAAAATCCCCTTCTCCCTGAGGAGGAGGAACAGAGAGCCATTGCTAAGATCAAGATGTTGGGGAACATCAAATTCATTGGAGAACTTGGCAAGCTTGATCTTATTCATGAATCTATCCTTCATAAGTGCATCAAAACAGTAAGTATGACTGGGAATTTAGGTTTAGAGCAAGGTACTTCGTGGAAACTATTGAGGAAAATAAGTCAACTATAATTGCCATCTGTGCATGGATATTAAGCATTTCGATGGCTAGTGAAACTTAGCAGTATCTAACCTGGAAGCATGTACTGGGTTTAATAAAGTAGAAGTAAAACCGTTCTCTACATTTAAATTGCTTAATTTGTGGAAGGAATTCCACACAGACCTGTAGATACCACTGTACTAGTTGCTGTAGCATTTGGGGGTAATGTAAACTTAATGGGGGAAAGTACTAAGTAAATTGGAATGACTAAAGTTTTCATCAACACGTGTGGCATTCTGTTCTTTTGGTAGCTTTTGGAAAAGAAGAAGAGAGTCCAACTCAAAGATATGGGAGAGGATTTGGAGTGCCTCTGTCAGATAATGAGGACAGTAGGACCTAGATTAGATCATGAACGAGCCAAGGTAAGATGAAGAGCTTGTCTTAATTCTATTTAAATTAGACAGCTTTTTGTGACTTAGGGGATTGCCATATTTAGTCACTTAACTTGCTTATAATGTAGAACTATCAAAAGCTTTAAATAGTACACATTGCTTTAACTTAAAATTTTGTGTATTTTTTTCATCAGTCCTTAATGGATCAGTACTTTGCCCGAATGTGCTCCTTGATGTTAAGTAAGGAATTGCCAGCAAGGATTCGTTTCCTGCTGCAGGTAAAACTGGTTTCTTTAAATATGATGGTAGGCTGAGTTTTTCTATTTAGAAATATTAAAATTTACACTATCTTCTCTTTAAAGGATACCGTAGAATTGCGAGAGCACCATTGGGTTCCTCGCAAGGCTTTTCTTGACAATGGACCAAAGACGATCAATCAAATCCGTCAAGATGCAGTAAAAGTGAGCATGTTTCAGTATTTCTGTAGTAGCATAGGTAGCCCCTTAATCCTTGAAGAAACTCTTGTCTTGGTGGTAGAATTTAATGTTTTTAGTGTATGACATTTTGGGATCTACAGAAATAAGTAGCAGTCTCAAAGGAATTTTTCTATTTTCCCCAGTGTATAAATTTTAGTTTTAAGTAAAATAATGTCCAGAGATGAAAATGCTTATTTGCTTAATTTCCAAAGGATCTAGGAGTGTTTATTCCTGCTCCTATGGCTCAAGGGATGAGAAGTGACTTCTTTCTGGAGGGACCGTTCATGCCACCCAGGATGAAAATGGATAGGGACCCACTTGGAGGACTTGCCGATATGTTTGGACAAATGCCAGGTAATTCTGAACACAACAGTGGCTTGGTCAGACTAAAAAGTCAGCTTAACATTCAGTGGAATGTTAAAAGTTGTCTGTGTATGTATTTCAAGGTAGCGGAATTGGTACTGGTCCAGGAGTTATTCAGGATAGATTTTCACCCACCATGGGACGTCATCGGTCAAATCAGCTCTTTAATGGCCATGGGGGACACATCATGCCTCCCACACAGTCACAGTTTGGAGAGATGGGAGGCAAGTTTATGAAAAGCCAGGTAAGGAGACAATAATGCTTAGGAAACAAGTGGTGAATCCTCGGATGTTCTTAAATTTTTTTTTTTTTTTTCCTAAACCAAATTTACATTCGTGGGCCATTATTTCAAACTGACTGAGTTGCTTATTCTTAAGACGAGTAAAGTATTACTAAAATCACATCACTTTATTTGGCAGTTAGGTTAGGTTTATATTCTTCCCTGTTTCATCTTCTGCTTTCTCTGGGCAAATTCAGTTAAGCTTTCTTCATAGCTTAGCTCATCCTTTGGTACTTGATTACCATAATTTGTGGACGCCCTTTTTATCTAGACTTTCTTTCTCCCTTTCTGAAATAGGGGCTAAGCCAGCTCTACCATAACCAGAGTCAGGGACTCTTATCCCAGCTTCAAGGACAGTCGAAGGATATGCCACCTCGGTTTTCTAAGAAAGGACAGCTTAATGCAGATGAGGTACATTTGCCTATGTTACTTATATATATGATAGTTTGTCAATTCAGAAATCTACTGCCCGATGATTATAAAAAGACGCGTTATTAAGAGGACTTATGCTGGAGTTCTTTTTTTCTATCTTTCCTATACTTCTTTTTCTTTCTTTGGATATCCAGCGTCCTATGAGCGAAGATTATGAGATATGAGGGCAAGTATAAAAGTCTATTACAGTGAAGGAAATGGTTGACAAGATGCGTGACTACTTTTCCTTGAAAGTAGTGTGATTTTAGCTAAGAATAAAGCGAGACTTCTTTTTTTTTTTTTTTTTTTTTTTTTTTTTTTTTTTTTTTTTTTTTTTTTTTTTTTTTTTTTTTTTTTTTTTTTTTTTTTTTTTTTTTTTTTTTTTTTTTTTTTTTTTTTTTTTTTTTTTTTACTACTACTACTACTACTATGATAATGCTACTCCTAGGAGAATTCTGGTATACATTTATGAATTTCTTGTTAGAAATTAAACCTGTTAGTATGAAGTAATTTTTTGGTTTTAGTCTTGTGGTACTGGGGATTGACCCTGGGTTTGTGCACTAAGTAAGCTATATTCCCAACCTTTTTTTTCTTTATTATTTTTAAATTTTGACACTGGATCTTGCTAAGTTGCCCAGGGTCACTTCAAACTTGAGATCCTTCTGCCTCAGCCACTAAAAGGCCTGACTTTTTTTTTTTTTTTTTTTTTTTTTTTCATTTTACCATATTTTAGAGAAACTTACCTCTGTCCTAGGTTGTACGATGTGTGTAGAGAATTATAGGTCGTTAAAGTGCTAAATATAACAGTGACTGCATGTCGTTAACTTGAGGGTCTGCTATGACTTGTTTTCAATTCCAGATTAGCTTGAGGCCTGCTCAGTCGTTCCTAATGAATAAAAATCAAGTGCCAAAGCTTCAGCCCCAGATAACTATGATTCCTCCTAGTGCACAACCACCACGCACTCAAACACCACCTCTGGGCCAGGTATGGATCCATGGGGGATGGGGGACATTTGTCATTGTTACATTTTGACTTGTTTTGATAAAGTGTTTTCTTCCTTATAAGGTCGTACTTTCTTTTTTTTCTTTTTTCTTTCTTTCTTTTTTTTAACTAAACACCCCTACCACACTGCTTATCTTTCAGACACCTCAGCTTGGTCTCAAAACTAATCCACCACTTATTCAGGAAAAGCCTGCCAAGACCAGCAAAAAGCCACCGCCATCAAAGGAAGAGCTACTTAAACTAACAGTAAGTGTCAGTCCCATAATCACTACTTGGAGTATATTTGGAATAGGGAACATTCTAAGGTAAATGGATTTTGTATGCTTTCTAGGAAACTGTTGTGACTGAGTATCTGAATAGTGGAAATGCAAATGAGGCTGTCAACGGTGTAAGAGAAATGAGAGCTCCTAAACATTTTCTTCCTGAGATGTTAAGCAAAGTGATCATCCTGTCACTAGACAGAAGTGATGAAGATAAAGAAAAAGCAAGTTCTTTGATCAGTTTACTCAAACAGGAAGGGATTGCCACAAGTGACAACTTCATGCAGGTAATGCATTTTTTTTGTTTGTGTGGTTAAAAACTCAAATTTGAAGCTGAACAACCTGATTATGTTGTTTATTCCTTGTAAGGCTTTCCTGAATGTATTGGACCAGTGCCCCAAACTGGAGGTTGACATCCCTTTGGTGAAATCATACTTAGCACAGTTTGCAGCTCGTGCCATCATTTCAGAGCTGGTGAGCATTTCAGAACTAGCTCAACCATTGGAAAGTGGTACCCATTTTCCTCTCTTCTTACTGTGTCTTCAGCAGTTAGCTAAATTACAAGATCGAGAATGGCTAACAGAACTTTTTCAACAAAGCAAGGTCAATATGCAGAAGATGCTCCCAGGTAAGAGTGGTTTAATACTAAGTCTACTCTTAGTACTCTGGGTGGATTTATTTATGTGGGTCATACAGCTTGATTTTCTGTCCAGATGATAAAAACATTCCCATAGTATATCTGAATGCCTTTATTATAAAGATTGTAACTTACCTACTTTTACTTGATCCATATGTTGAATTTATTATCATGGGTTGCTTCTTTGTGACACTTGTATATCGGGAAATAATTTGTAAAGCTCTGCTGTTTAGATAGGGCAGCTAGATAAAATCAGCTACCTGCTCAGTTCTGGAAATGGCTTTGTCTTTTCAGAAATTGATCAGAATAAGGATCGTATGTTGGAGATTTTGGAAGGAAAGGGACTGAGTTTCTTATTCCCACTCCTCAAATTGGAGAAGGAACTGTTGAAGCAAATAAAGTTGGACCCATCCCCTCAAACCATATATAAATGGATAAAAGATAACATCTCTCCCAAACTTCACATAGATAAAGGATTTGTGAACATCTTAATGACTAGGTAAGACGGTGGTCTTATACAGTAATGTTTTTATTTCTAAGGAAAAGTGAAGTCTAACACTGGAGCTGACTTGTTTTTTGAGCTAAAAGAGTTCACTTTGGTGTTCTAACAAAACTTTTTCTTTCCAGCTTCTTACAGTATATTTCTAGTGAAGTAAGCCCACCCAGTGATGAAATGGATTCTTCCTCTGCTCCTTCCAAAGAACAGTTAGAGCAGGAGAAACAGCTGCTGCTTTCTTTTAAGCCAGTGATGCAGAAATTCCTTCATGATCATGTTGATCTACAGGTCAGTGCCCTGTATGCTCTGCAGGTGCACTGTCATAACAGCAACTTCCCAAAAGGTGAGGTGGTGCCTGTGTGAGGATTGGGCATGGGGCCTGCTGAGAGCATATTGAATAATAAGCTTGTTCTGGGTTTCAGGCATGTTACTCCGCTTTTTTGTTCACTTCTATGACATGGAAATTATTGAAGAGGAAGCTTTCTTGGCTTGGAAAGAGGATATAACCCAAGAGTTTCCAGGAAAAGGCAAGGCTTTGTTCCAGGTAAATCTTTTTATTATTGTTGTTGTTGTTGTTTTGGTACCTCTGGTATTGAACTCATCCCTTGAGCTTAGCAAGGCAGGCGGTGGAACCACTAAGCTAAATCCCCAGCCCTTTTCCAGATAAATCTTACAAAAATGTGGTGTACTTTTTTTTTTTTTTTTTTTTT